CTGTTTCGGATATTAGTCCGTTAATGGTGATATGTCAAGTATTTGGTTGCTTGTTTGTTTCGGGACCTGCTGCGGAGCGTATACTCCAGTTTGATGTTCTCAAGCGGTTTCCGGTTGGTTGAACTGTTGTTGTTGGGTAAAGTTTTTGATGGGGCTATATTAACCGGAGTCATCAGTGCAAGATAGTGGTTGTTTTTCAGTTCTTTGGTTGACCTATTCGTTGATGTGCTAAGCACATAAAGAGCTTGAACTGTCAGAAATGAATAACTATAGCCTGTACATTGTTTACAGCCAGGCAAAGGTGTTGGTACGGTGAAGATGAACTTCTCTACTTTCAGGTGTTCATCTGCTACATGATAGTGAGTGAACTCCGTTGATAAATCAGTGATGAGGTTTCAGAGTGTAATACCAAGTGGTATTTCTACGAATGCCTTCTTTTTTTATCTCTCACCCTTCCGCAAATAAGTTCCACCTGTAGTGATGACCTTACCATGGGGTCAAATTCACTATCTGTTCCGGTAGGGCAGTCAAAAACCGCCACATTTCGTCCGCAACTGTTGATTCAGTGAAACAACACCCGTGTGTGGGCGATAAACTACTGTGTTCCTTTCATCACCTTGGGGATGCTCCTGTTTGCACATAACTTACCTGAGCATATACTCGTAGCAGCCTACTGCTTGCCATACAATTTCACGCACTACTTTCTTATCACAACACTGGAATGTTGAACGATTGGTCTTTTTTCCTCTAGGCTGCTATTATTCGAGTATATTGGTATGAAATGTCCGATAGTCTAATCAAGTGGATCATCTTATGGCCGTGGATGTGCACGCATACCAAATCGCGCATCTTGATCGTTCTATCGGTTGCATAGTTTTTAATTCGTTTTCCCCGGGAATATTAGATTGAAGTATTACGGTTAGGCGACCCACTGAGCTTTTGGTTACCAGTAATCTTGGTCGAGTGGGAAATGAAGTCCCCAAGTATCAGATGCCTTGTTGACTGATCCTTATTCTGCTCTTCTCTATCTTTGACTTGATGGCTGGTATGTGGGAAGTGAATAACTCTTTCGCTGTTTTTTAATTACACCTGTTTGTGTGACGAGTAGTAGTGAGGGTGAATCCCGTAGTCGCGAAGACCTACTGTTCAGTGATGGGAACCGCAAACCTTAGCCCCAGTACTTGAATCAGTGAAATAGTGCATCCCCGGCAATTTAGACGTAATATTGAACCGGATGACAGCAATGCTGCCTACTAACTAATAAAAGAGGTCATTATTCCGCTTCATGGACCACACTAATTTACGGAGATTCTCAGTAATAGTTTAATAAGCAGTATTCCTAACACTGTTTCAGTGCACACTTAGTTTTCTCAGCTATGCGTAACCGGCATGGCAACGGCATTGTTTTGGATAAAGCCAAACGTAGAAGTTTGTTTAGTTGGGCTCTTTTTGAAAATGTTTTCGCGCAAATGGAATAGCACATTAAGCGGTAGTCTTATCAGTGGTTTTTCACATCCGTCACTCGAGAGAAACGTTTTTAGTCCCTACTGTCGTTTTCCGCGCGATTTCATGTGGCACGTTTGGTTACCGTTTTTGGCTGTCCGTTTGGTTTGAAAGCACTCAAGAGGTAGACGGAAGAAGCAGAACACTTGGAACAGTGGAAGCTTCAAAAGCTCGACACTGCCTATCCCTATGTGGATCACTTATTAGCCCTCAGTTCATGCCTAGCATTGGACACTAGCATGGACAAGAAGGATCGATGTGCGTATACATATACGTGGTTCGTCAAATCAATGGTGCAACACAATCCGGCCTAGTTGTAACTAGAACAGAAATCACAGTTTGGGCTTAGTCGATTTGGTAGAGAGCAGCCTCCGTATGTTTACTGGACTCGTAGTGTGTACTGTATTTTGAAGAATAAAAGTGAAACACGTCAATGCAATAAATAGAAAAGTAGCTAATCAAATAGGACTAGTGTCCATGTACACTGTTTGTGCCTGTTTGGAATGTCAAAGGTATGCTTGCAACGTCACTGATGAATATGGTACCCGATATTCTTAGTTGGGATTTTTCCAACTGTTGTGATTTATCGGTAAAATGATGGATAATTGAACCAGTTTGTTCTTGTGTGTTAGCATTTTTCAGTTAATCAGTGAATTGAGAGCGACACAGACAGTTGTTTTGTACGGAGTTCTGTTAACTACCTCGTATACAGAAACAACAAAATTCTTTTCATTGTGCAAATCAATGATCATTGTTTTTTCCCAACTGTCTGTCTCGTTCCCTCGGTTTTGTGACTTACCTCACAATATCCGGGTGTCCCCTAGTGCACTGCTGTGTCAAGGTAATCATCTTACGAAATCTGATTTCACAATACCCGTTTTCATCGATTAGTTTACTTATTCTTTTCAGTTAGTGCAGCTTGATTGTGGGATTAATCACTCCAACTGGGTGTCACTGACTAGAATTTCTGTGCAACTGTTGGCATCTAATCGCGATGGAATGACTTTCCTTTCGGTATTCCTTATTCATTTCAGTGAATGCTATTCACATTTGGACACAGTGCTCATTCAACTGTAGTTGTGTTCAACCTGATCCCTGTTTGTCCGTGATTGCAGACTATGTGCACACATGAAGTCATTGCTTTTTTGGTATCTGTCACAACGCACTCATTTTCTCATCTAGCGTGTTCCGAACTATCTCGAATTTTGCGTTGTAGTGTCTAATTCATCTGACAGCTCCTGTCTATACGGCACATTTCACTCGCACGACTAACTGGGTACTCGCGCCTCAGCACAGATTAGACCTGTGAGAACACTGACTGTTAGACAGGCATGTGTTTAACTGTCAATTTTTTCTATTTTCATCGAGCACGACGGGAATCACGTCACAAACTCGCATGTTAACTACTCCGTTCTCTCTGAGAATCATCTTTGCAACTACTGGTCTTTGAACATAACTCATTCATTGGGGTCACATGATTAATCAATATTAGACCCATTTTTTGCATACACAGTTCGGTATGTATTTTATACATGGCTGGTTTCTGGTCAGCGCATCAGAACCCAGTCTACAATCGCACAGGACATCCACGTTGTCCACTACCACTGCAGGACTTAGCCTACCACTACAATAAATTCGGAATATACGACAGGAGGTTGATTTCGGGTAGGACTATCCGAGATTCTAGTGCCAATAGCGGTGTCAGAATGCCAGAAACAAAACTCTCTTTGGGGTGTCGAACCAACTCTAGTAAACGCATTCCAGCACAGACGCTCTCAATGCATAGTAGGAGACACTTCCAGCAACAAGTACTCAGTGGAAGGGGGATTTCCCAACAACATGCAAGACAGGGAAAATTCAAAACGGCTGTGAGCCAATGGCTCCAGTGGGACATGCACACACCCACACTCAATTCAAAATGGCGGGGACCTGCCTAACTCTGCACTAGTAGTGGGCTGGATGCGCGTTTCACCGCTACCGATTATATCACGTATTCTAAATATATGGGGATAACCCAGGTCGATTTAGGAAATACATGTCTAAGAGTGCTAATTGGCTAAAACATAGACGAAATCTTTTCAGTGCAAATAACAGACAATTTTGCTAGTCCCCGCTCGGATTCTAATAATTGACATGTAAATCATTTTTGGACGAGATTCCTGACGCCAATTTCCCCCATTTCTCTTCGTTCAGCAGCTGTCCATGAGTGGCTTTGCGTGAGTTCACTAGATCCACATCCGCAAGTTCAAGTCACTAGAAGTCGTTCGATTCAATTCGATGCCGATACACTCTAGGAAATACTAACCCGCAATTTCAGTTTACACTTTCTTAGTCTTCAGCAGATAAAGTAGCCGCGTATCATCACATTGTCTGATTCCGATTTGATCATTGTTTGCTGAGGTCTTCTAATCGGCTTTCATATTCCATTTGTTGTGAAAGCAGTGACCGACCTTGCTTCCGGCCTCGTCCATTTATGTTTCTCCTTCTTTCCCATTTCTCTGTCGAGTTTTTTCCATTTCGAACCATCACTGATTCCCTTATATCCACCTTTCCTCTGTTATATCTCTTGGTTATTCTCAGATATCCCGAGATGATTCGGCAGAGACGTTCCATCGACTGATGGCGGATGCAGCTGAGACTGCCGCTCGTGCCATGGCTGAATCAGCAAGTGAGGAGGACGAGGAAGGGGATGAAGCTGACGAGGATGAAGTTGTCATTGACGATGATTCGCTGTTCGACCCATGCCTTGTATTGGGCAATGACCCGGCTGTCGATCCATTATCCATTAATTCATCGAATGAAAAAGTGATGGGTGTAACTTCCGTGACTAGCCCACGCTCTGCACTTAAAGGCACGGCCCCGGCAGCCTCGACTAAACGGCGCCAAGATGCGATA